GACTGAGAAGGACAAGCAGGCCAGACACTGCTGCCGGGCAAGAAGCATCTGGCCACACAGAAGAGAACCAGGTACGATTCTGCCCTCACAGAGCTCGTGATCACAGAACACCCAGCCACTGCTTTTCACCCAGTCCACCTGTCATCTCAGGGATGCTCACCTATTCAGGCTATCACCATAACAACAAAACACACATAACCTTTGGCCAAGAGATCTCTACCTTGGCATCTTGCTCATTTCTAGGTTCTGAGTCCTTGTTCCATGATGTCATCAACATGGCTTCCTAGATTCCAGATCTATTCCTGCTCCTGAGACGTGACTTGGCACGTCTGGACTCCTGGAGGTCCCTACGCCATCCCTGTCTTCTTCTAAGTGCCAGTGTTTCAGTTAGTTTACTCATCCCAAACTCAGCCCCCTCCTACTCTCCACGCCCAGCCCCAGCACAATCTGAAGCCGAATTTCTGGAAATGATCATGCCTGATTCATCTTAGTACCACCAGGTATTGGTACCATACCTATTTATTTGTGCTATGGCAAGTTAAAAATACTCATTAATATGCCCACATATTGATTTCTAAATACCATTCTCTAATAAAAGAAATCAGGGCTCCTTGGAGAAGGGGTGGTTCCAGGGCCAGAGTAAGTAAAATATAAGATGAACCTGGAGCATTTTATGATGCCAGAAAGTAAAGAAGTGCTAAGAAAAAAAAATATGGGGCACCATGTTGAAAATGTCGAGGAGCCAACCTGAAAGGGCTCCCTAAGGTCAAAACTGGCAGTACAGGACCAAACCAATGAATAATGACAGTATTAGATGATAACATAAAGTATAAAATAAGTATCCTGTATCCCTACTGATATAAATAAATACTGAATAAATGGGGAACAAGGGACGACTTTTCCTTGGAGAACAATTCCAACTAATAAATGTAGGAGTAAGGAAAATGGAAGATCTCCACTGGACCACCACAGGAATAACTGAGGCAGTCATGCTCCACCAATTAAAATTAGTGGGAGAAGTTGAAGGAGAAACAAGATATTTGCATAATCTTAAGGTATCTCCGCCCAAATAAATTAATTACAAAGAGAAAAGCACTAACTTTACCATGAAGAAACCTGGCAGACAGCACCTTCACCAAGCGATCAAGGATAGCATCTCCAGTGATAAGACATGTTGACATCATGTACTCCCTGGAATGCTACACTGAGGAGGATACATCATCTCCGTGGTATTCTTCCCCAAAATGTAAAACATTAACCTAATCATGAGAAAACATCAGACAAACCCAGACTGGGGGCCATTCTACAAAATCGCTAATCAGTCCTCTTCAAAAGTGCCAAGGTCATGAATGACAGGAGAGACTGTCACAGATGGGAGGAGACATGACAACTGAATGCAATGTGGGACCTTGGATTATATCCTAGAGCCGAAAAAGGACATTAATGTGAACACTGGTGAAATCCAAATAAATTCCGTCATTTAGTTAAGCGTCGCACAGAGGTTAATTTCTCAGTTTTGATACTTGTACTGTGGTTGGGTAATATGTTAATACTAGAGGGAGGAGGGCGAAGGGAGACAGGAACTCTGTACTTTCTCTGCAACTCTACTGTAAGTCTAAGATTAGTTCAAAATGAAAAAGTTGAAAAAAAAAAACCTGACAAATGGCCTATGGGTGTAAGTATTAAGACATATAGTGAAATATAAAGATGATCTGGAAGATCTTCAGAGTGCTACCAAGGCAGGAAACAGCATAACACAGCAAAGGATTTTGGAGCCAGAGAAGCTGAGAAAACGATGAAGATCTGAGCTAAGGTGGCAGCGGCGGGCCTGGAGACTAGCGGGGAAAGTCCACTCCCCTAGCACAGAGGGAGGCAGGCAGTTTTCTAAGTGCTTCCTGCACACTAATTGACTGAGAAATGGGATGGGTTTGGCACATTATCTATGGGAATAGGTTGTCAACATTTGTGACTCACAGAATTTGAGGGATGAAGGAGAAGGAGCAATCCAGGACGACTCCTAGGTTTCTAATCTGAGCAGCTGGCTATGTGGTTCTAATACTATTCATCAGGGTGGAAAACAGAACGGATTTGGTGGGGAAGAGAAAGAGCAGAAGCTCAGTTTGGGGCAGGTTGGTTACAAGGTGCCTGTGTGACGTCCAGGTGGGCAAGTTTGGGAGGCAGTTAAAAAATAACCTTACTTATAGCTGCAAAGAGAAAGCTATTCTAGAGATATAGATCTGAAAGCAATGATCATACAGGTGATGGTTGAAACTGTAGGAGTTGATAAAATCACCCAGGATGAGAGTGCGAAAGAAAGAGAGGAGGGCCAAGGATGGAAGACTGAGAGACGCCCACCATTACGGAAAGAAGAAGAGCGTGTGCAGAAGACTGAGACGCAGGTGTCAGAGGTGGAGGAGAACCAGGAGGGCATGAGATCACAGAGACCACCGGGCTGGGAAGGGGAACCAGGTGTTCAGTAGTGTCAAGTGCCATAGCATAAGAGGAAGTCAGCATTGACACTGGTGACCTTGGAAGGAAAAGTTGGTGGAAAGATGGAAGTGGCACCCAACCCACACCTTGGAAGGGAATGATTAGTGATGGGGAAGCAGATACATGAGTGCCAAACATTCTTTTGAGAAAGTTAGGTGGGAAAGAAGGAAGATAGAAAAATAGCCAGAGGGGAACTCAAGGTCAGAGGGGTCACCCAAAACTCTTGCCTCCAGACTGATTCCTCCCAGGAGTTCCTGATGCATACTTTTAACTGCAAACAAGTTCTCTCTACTGGGTATCCTGCCTGTAGCTATTGAATGTGTATGTATAGCCTTAGACCCACAAAGGGTCTAAACTTGAGTTGACAAAAGAAGCATCACCTCTGTTGTGGATCACCTTTTCAACATGAAGGTTGAGATCTGAAATGATCTAATCTGACTTGGGGCTACACAACGTGATGCTGGGCAGTTTGTAACTCTTCCCAGGGGCAAGATTACCTCATGGCCATATTCCATTACTCCATGGCCACGTTCCACTCTGGCTTTGAAGGCCCAGCATAGAACATTTTGAGACAGTTTCAGATCCTGACTAGGAATTTGCCAGAGGAGTTAAAAGCTGCAGTCACTAGGAGAGATGCTCAATGAGGCTCACGGCTTTTCCACATCTACCTGTGCCAAAGGGTTTTCATTTCTTCTTCGTGCTCAGTTGCATTTACAAGCCTTTAAATATTAACACTCGTTAATATTGATGTTTGAGTACTAAATCAGGTTAGCTTCCTAGAAATCACTAGATTTTATATTATTCATTCACTCATTCAATATACATTGACTAAGTGCTAGGCAACCTGCTAGGACTGGAGAAGACCAGATAGATAAATAAGACATGGGTCCTGCCTTTGAGACGCCCACACACGTTTACATAAACAGCTACAAACAACATGGAATGTCTTCTAATAAAGGCATGTGTATTATGCATACGTGTGTGTGTGACTGTACCTGTGGGAACACAGAAGAGCACATGGCTATCACCTCTAGGTGTGATTGTGTTGTCGGGGGTGTGAGAGGGAGGCACATTCAATTGATTCTAGAGATTGGAAGATGAGCAATAATGGATTGCCTTAGTGGATAAAGGAGGCAGTAGGGCCTCAGAGGCAGAAGGAAGATCATGGGCAAAAGGATAGAGGTGTTAATACGCACGGCCTACGTAATAATGTAGCAATGGCATTCATAAAAATAATAAGACCAACAACAATGAAAATGATGAGAGATATTTATTGGGCACTCATTGGGTGTCAGGCACCATTCTAAGAGCTTTACATTGCACGAGCCACATGTGTGGGAGTGGCCAGAGGTGAGGCTGAAAAGACAGCTCGGGGTCGGGTGGTGAGGTGTTTCAAATGTTGTGCTAACGGGCCTGGACTCTGTCCCACTGGGAGGGGAGAGCAAGTACCGGCAAGATTAGACTTACAATTTAAAAAGGTTCCTCTGCGGTTGTGTGGGGAATGGGCTGGAGGAGGTGAGATGGGGGGCAGAGAGGTGAGTCCAGAAGTTGTTTCAATAGTTCAGACAAGTGAAAATGGCAGGGAGGATGGATGCAGGAGAGAATTTGGAGCAAGAAGAAACGGGCCCTGGAGACCTCCCACAAATATGCGGGTGGTAAAGAAGAAGGGAAGAGGTTCTATAGACTCAGAGGCAAAGAAACATCTTTAGGAAAGTGGATGAGCTCAGCGTGAGGTGCACACAGGTGGACAGCTAAGAATGAGAGTCTAGAACTTGGCACAGAGGTTTGGACAAGAGAGAAAATGGGCACCAGTGAGGTGAGAAGTCCAAATTCATTCAAGATAAGATAGTGTCATTTGACACTGAGATCATCCCTGAATTCTCCTCCCCCCACCACAGGCTTACGTTTTCACATGAACAGCTGTGAACTGACACAGGGATACATCCCTTTCAAAAGCAACACACCTAGAGACACACACAGAGGCCGAACATCACAGAGGCACATACTCCCACATACTTGCACTCAACCTAAAGAGGGATACACAGAGGAACACACACACACACAGGTCCATTGGTCACAGAGGTGTGTACACACACACACACACACACGCACATATATAGATCCATAGGTCACAGAGGTACACACATGCACAGACCCCCCCTACACATGTAAATATGCCTATAGAGGCCACAGTGTACAATTTTCTGGAGAGGGTGAGGCATGTTTTCCCGTATACAGTGGAGTCTATTCATCTCCCCAGCTGATGACCCTCGACTGCTACTGGGAGCAGCCCCATCTGGTCATCAAGACCCCCTTTGCAATTCATTCATATAAAACAGATTCCAAGAGGACATCTACAGGCTCCACTGGTGTGTTATCCCACACTCTACACACTCATATTCCACTCCAGGTGAACTGCTGCGAACCAAGAACAACTCCTTCTAAGCAGGAGCAAGTGATCCATCCACCTGAGACTAAGGACATCCACTGCAACACAACTCTCCTCTCACCAAAAAGCTTCTGCAGGACTTGTCCATCATACAAATCTTCAGCCAGGTCTTTCACAATGATTCTTTCTCCAACCAACACATCATTAATCCAGTCAATTAATACCTACAGAGAGAGAATAAGAGAAGAGTCATAGAGTATTTTCTTATAGACTAGCTTTCTTATCCTGGACAGTCAATATCTAAATGAACTTTAGATTTTGAAAGCAGCAGAACTATCCACATGACCCACTATGTGGACAAATAGCTAAGTGTGAGCCCCAATGGCCCTGTTAATTTTCAGGCGCAAACTCTTCTAGTGCTGGTGGCAGCAGTGTCCCTGCTAACATCTTCTGGCCCCCTACCATTCCTTACCCTAATGGCCAGCAACATTCACACCGTGTTTGGCTGTGTGGCTTTGTACCAGGCAAGGGGATAGTCTTTGGAGCTGTACAAACTGTGGTTGAAACCCCAGCTTTACCCACTACCTGATTTGTGTACCTCTGTCATCTATGGACCTCTGTGGACTTGTGTGTGTGTGTGTGTGTGTGTGTGTGTGTGTGTGTGTGTGTGTGTACCTCCGTGATCTATGAATCTAAGGCAAGCTACTTATCTGCTCTGAGCCTCTGATTCCCCGCCTCTAAAATTGAGGATGAAAATACCTCCCACAGCAGGTAGCAGAAAAGAATTACATACGACAGGGGTCAAACACTCAATAAAGGCAGATCTTACTAATAAGTGAAGCACTCTCCCATTATGACATTTGGCCAGGTGGTTACTGCCACCTCTACGTTTAGGAGGGGAAATCAAACACAGACGTAAGCAGATTCGCCCAAGCTCCCAGAGCTAACTGGACAGAGACAGGAATGGAACTCTTGCCCACTTCATTCTAAAGCACATGTTCTCCCCTGCGCCAAGCTACCTCTTCGGGGGCCAATGCAATCTCCTCTCTTGTCTGTATCTTCCAGCTGTCATGATCTGAGAGCCTCTGTGGTCAGGCATTGAGCAGAGGCATTCCACGTGAGATCTCATTTAGTTCATCCACACAACACCCCTGAGAGACAGGGGTCATTTGTTTCGTTTTTCAGGTAAGGAAACTGAAGCTTGCACAAGTTAAGTCTATTGCCTTTCTTTTTAATCTTTTCTTCTTCTTTGTTTAAGATATTATTTATATACAATAAAATGAACCAATTTTAAGTATATCGTTCAGTAAGTTTTGGTCATTGTACACAGTTGTGTAACCACCACCACAATCAAGATACAGAACAGTTTCCCTACTCTAAGAAGGTTCCTTTGGTCTCTTTGTACTCGATCCCCTCCCCTGATCACAGGCCTCAGGCAACCACTACAGTGTTGCCTTTTTGATGATTTCATATAAGTGGAATCACAAGGAACATTGCCTTTTGTGTTTGACTTCTCTGACTTAGCATAAATAGATTGCCTTTATAACAGAGGCAGTAGCTGGGCTGGGTTTCCATCCCTGGGTGGAGCCTGGGGCCTTCAGAGAACATTCTTCTACAGTCCTAAGGCAGCTAGCTTTCTTCCTTCCTTCCTTCCTCCCTCCCTCCCTCCCTTCCCCACTCTTCCCTCCTTCCTTCCTTCCTTCCTTCCTTCCTTCCTTCTCTCCCTCCATCCATCTATCACCCATCCATCTGCCCACCACCCACCCACCCAGCATTTATTAATACCTGCTATATGTCACACATTGTGCTGGATCCTGGGGGGTACAATGATGAAAAAAAGAGACAGTCTTTAACCCCAAGAAGCTCACCATTTAGTGAAGGAGACACAGAAACATATGAATAGTTGTAATATCATGTCGTGACTACAAGGATAGAACTAAGTACAAGGACCGTAGCAGCACACAGAGGGGCTGAGCGATAGCACTGGGCTTTAGACAAGGCTTCCTGGAGGACATGACCTGCTTTGACTTCAGGTGAAGGGTAGGTAGAGACATGTGGTTGGAGGGGCTGCCCAGACAAAGGCATGTGCGGGAGGAGTGCTGCAAGCAAGCACAGTGTGTACAGGGAGCCACCACGAGCTGCTCTGGTGTCCCTGTGTTGCCAGGCAGGGGACGACCTGAGGTTGAAGAGGCAGCTCGAGCATGGAGACCCCAAATGCCACCCTAGGAGTGTGGGCTTCGACCTGTAGTTGGTAGGAAACTACACACAGGTTTGAGCAGGGAAATGATATATTCAGATTTACATTGTGAATGAATCACTCTGACATCCAGTGCCTTATTGTCTTGTTTTAAGTGTAAATTGGAGAAGTTAAGGAACAACACAGAACAGGGAATCAGAAGGGATTTGAAATGAACATTTTTCTAGGGGTGACCACACGTCAGCCCCTGTGTCAGGTATATTATGCACAATACTTCATTTAATCTCATTTATTTCTGTTTGAATCTCCTCCATTCACCTGTGACGATAAACAAATCACTTGGCTTTTCTAAGACTCACTTTCCTCATCTGTAAAATGGGGATGAGACTAATTTGTACTTCGCAGGATGCTTTTGAAGGCCCTTGAGCAAAACAACGAACCGTAAGATCCTGGCAAATGTGAGCTTCTTTACACTAACTTCTCTGGCGCTTATGATCAACACCATCCGTTGGGCATTTGTCAAGGCCCACTTTTGTTAACTTTTAGATGTCCACCTACTGGACCGTGAGCCGTCTGTGGGCAGGGACTGCCATGACTTTTTATTCTCTCTGTGGTGGCTCGCCTAGTACCTGCACAGGCCAGGTGTCTATAGATGCCTGGTAAGCCTGGGAGGCCCCTCCTGATTCCTTCTTACCTTCATCAGTTCCTGAAGTTTGGGGTCGCTGCGGGAGTTGGGGTCCACCATCGTTCGCACTTCATTCTCCTCTTTAAAAAGAAAAGGAAGTCAGTGGGGTGGTTCCACTTGAAGACCTTAGGCTACCCGAGAGAACAGGAGACCCAGTTACCAAGCATCGTGTCCTCAGGGTCCAGCTCGAAGGGGATCGGGCTGAGGGGCAGGTTGATGGCGTTCATGCCCTCCTCCTGAAGCTCTGACACTGCAAGGGGAAGGAAGCACAGGGTCACACTGCAGCCCACTGATGACAGGGGCGGAGTTCTGTAACAAATGTGCCCAACATTGATATTGATATTGAGAAATAAAACCACTCAGGTTAGGTTACAGCTGTTAGTGTGCAGTCGATTCCCCGCGTCTCCCTGCTGAGAGCACCGAACTGTCCCCTTCATCTCATCTCTTCCAACTATCACCTCATTTGCTTTCCTTGGAGAAACAGGGAGGTCTCGCTGGCATGGAAATCTGCCTCCTCTCAGAAACCATCTCGGAATACACAGAAGTGAGGTGGGCACTGACGCTTTTCTGAAGTCTCTGCCTTTTGCCACTGCCGCTCCTCCTTCAAGGGCTTGCTGTCTGGTGCACAGTGGGCACCCCATAACTATTTGTGGACTGGATGAACCAGGTCACCAAGTTAAGGCTACATTTATCCTGTAAGCCATTTCCATGCTCGGTTCAACCCTCCTCTGACTTCTCTCCTTATTCGGCTTCCCTGACTATTTTCTGATTATCCCCGCTCCCTCCTTTATCCCACCCCAGCTGTTGCTTGAGAACGCCTCAGTCTGGCCTTTTCCCCGGGCGCTGGGCACGTCCTTTGGCTCTAACGGAGGTGTGGGCCCTGGGGCCGGGCACCTCACCTCTCTAGCCCCGTTTCCTCAGCTGAACATGAAGAGCTCAACTGGATGACCAGAAAGTTCTTTTACAGTTTTCAAATCCTAGAAATCCACAGTTTGACTTTCCTCAAGAAAAATAAAAAGAGGTCAATGACCGCTAAAGACTTCCAGCCTGCTCCCCTCCACGCACCCATCCCCCATGCGAAGCCTTAGAAAAAAAAAAATTCCTCCCACAAAACCAGTTGTGTGATGGACACTTGCTGAGGGCTGACCTTGGATGACCTCTCCGAAAAGCAGTGACTTCAACCCCCTCACCTCTATTCAGTTCAAGTTTGGATAATTACTTTTCGCCCATTAAGCACAGAAAGACCATTTTCTCTGAAGGCATTGGTCACCAAAAGGTTCTTAAAGAGCTAATATGGCAGCTGCAATCCACCTTAATAAAAGCAATGTCCCATCTTTCCATTTTATTATTTTTTTTATTGACTCTGGCCTCGCCGATTACTAGCATATACTTTCAAGAACTCTTAAGCACAAGGCAGCCATTTACAAAGAGTTCTTTCATATTGGGAAACTCACTGATGGTTGCAGTTGGACGGGGAATGAGATTGCCTAACAAAGAGAGTGAAACACACTCTACCCTAAAGAGACACAACTTGCATTATGAAGCTGGCATTTAGTCCTGTCACTGTGGGTCCTTGACATTCACATGGGATAGCAGCCAGTCACTGTCTTAAATCTCCAAATTCACAGATACCCACTGCTCTATATAATTCTCTCCCATAAAACATAACTGAAAAATATAAGCAACATCTTCAAGGCTTAAATGATTCTAAGTATAGGATTGCATTTGCTTTCTAACAAAGAACAATTGCTTCATTAGACTTCTATAATATCTTCTAATATTCCTCCTAGGACTAGCAGTTTGCTTTCTTTTCCAGGCTTTTTCTCACAAAGAAGAAAGACTGCCATTACTTAACGAGCACTGCTGTGCAAGCAATGGGCAGTGGAAATGAAGTCACTTAAATGTGAGTGCAAGGCTGGGCTTACTGGCCAGTGTAGCAACTTGCTCCTGCCCAGGACCTTCTCTATCTACATTCTCCCCCAGCAAATTCAACTGGATGGCGGTATCCTAGGTGATCCAGTATATCCAAACGCTGATGATGCCCACACCTAAATCTCCAGCCTAGGCCTGACCCTGAGCTCCAGGCTTACGTGATGTCTCCTCTCATTTTTATTAACAGAGATCTGAAATTCACACACCCAAAACAGAACTCTGATTTCCAACACCCTCACACCACCATCACAACACTAAAATAAGACCTGTGCTTTCTCTATTCTTATCCTCTTCAGTAAATGGCACCACAATTTATACAATGGTTAAGCCAAAATCCGAGGAATCACCCTTACCTTCTCCTTTTTCCTTGCCTTTTGCATCTGATACAGTGGCGAGTTTTGTGGGCACCACCTCCAAAACAGGACCTGATTCCAACAGCTTCTCACCATCTCTACCATCATCCTGGGTCAGGCCACTGCTGTCTTTCACCTCAACAACCAGAACCACCTTCTAAGGGGTCCACTGCTTTCTCGAGCATCCTCCTTCCCCCTACTTCCCACAGCACAGTCAGAATGTTCTATAAAGGAATAAATAGGGTCATACATTCTCCTGTATTAAGCCTTCCTGTGGCTTCCGCTCATACTCAGAATAAAACCCCAACTCCTTACAAAGACCTACAAGACACTCTTATCGGCCCCTGCCTCCTCTCATGTTTTATTTTCTTCACAGCACTCATCACAATCTGAAATAATTATTATTTATACGTCAGTTATCTATCTCCCCCCACCACAATGTAAACTGTGCGCAGGTGGGCACTTTTTCTCATTTGTTCGCTATTAGATCCCAAAGAGGAGCCAGACTGCCTGGATCCAAATCCAGGATCTACCACCGACTAGCTGCGTGACTCTTGGCAAGTTCATCAACCTCACCCCTCAGTTTCCTTATCTGCAAAATGGGAATGATAAAAATATTGCCTCCCTCCCAGGGTTGTTGAGAGGATTAAATGAGTTAATACATGAAGAGCACTTAGAGTGCCCAGTACCTGGTAAGACCTATGTAAATATATGCTATTATTATTATTGTTACTTAAAATAATACCTCATGCATAGTAAGCACTCAAGAACTATTTATGGAATAAATGAATAATCAAAACTGTTAAGACCATCCTTCAACTACACAAGTTACGAGTTGAGGCAGAATTTGCCAAAGCAGTGTATAGCATGCAAAGAATTCCAGCTTGTCCTCGGGAGAAAAAAAAATTTACATTTTGGCCTGACCCTGTGCGCGTGCGCATGCGCAAGTGCCCGTTTCCGCGGCAGCACTCCAAGCTTACATTTTGTACAGAGAGAAAAGCCACATCTGTCCCCAGACTGTTGTACAGCCAGGGCCAATTTGTGAAGATAGAGATATTTGCACCTCTAAAGTGTGGCTAGAAATGCAATATTCACAGCCAGGACTCCTAAAAGTGGATCTGAGCGGGATCTCTTTTTACATGTAGATCATTGCTAAAGACGTTTTCAGATGAAAAATCTCCAGTCAGAAACACTCCCCTCTGCCCTGCCTCTTTAACTCACTCACAGAGACATAACAAACCCGAGAAGAAAGGCTGCGATATGTTTGCAATTGGAAATGTTTTTTTCAGGAAATGATTTGGTACAGGAACATCACTCCCATCCCATTAACTGCTGACTCGCGGCCAACTGTTTGTAAAAGTGAATATGCAAACTGCCCGGTTCAGGCCTGGCCCCCGCCCCGTGGGGCCGCATTAGTGGCCACTTTCCCAAAACAGCCCGCCTGCCTTGGAGGTTTCATTTCTATTAAACCAAAGCAGGACCCAGCAGAAGCCCCTCGCCAACCCCTACGCTCTGAAAGAGAAAGAGCTGCAATTGAATTTTCTCGGCATAGAATATGAATACGATGTTTATCTTCCGAACCTCCTCTAACAATCTAAAACTAGGTCTGAATGTGCAGCCTTTGGTGTCTCGCAGCGCCATTAGTCATAACTTAATAAACAGATTAAATGCCCGGCTGAAGGTCGGGCTTGGGAAAGCAGGGTGATTGCCTCAACTCCTGAAGTGCTCACCATGAGCAACGGGCTACGGCTTTTCCGGGAATCGCAGTCTGACTCCGGGTCCAGCTGCGCGGCAGAAAAAGTACATGGACGGGAGTCTGAAGGAACTGGATTTGAATCCTACTTCTATTTTATCAGCTGTGGAACCTTATGTAAGTGACTTGACCTCCCTGAAATTCAGTATAAAACAATTCTCTATAAAACAAGGGTGTAGCTGACGCTGCTGGTTTCCTTCCCAATATTTATTTTTCTCTTTTTCTCTGCTGAAAGAACCCTCATTTTGTTCCAGTATACACTCCTTCCTCTGGCGCCTCTAGGTGAGATCCTGATGGGATTAACATAATCATGATAATCTCAATCCCTTTAGCAGTGATTGGCTCAAGCATTGTCATATGATACACCTCTGGCCACTGCCATGAGAGGAAATTTCTAGAAGCTTCTAGAAAAGTTTTCCTCCATTTTAAAGATGGGCCCAAGAAAGAGAAGGTATCTTTCTCCTTCTAACCATTATTGCACCAGGATGTTATGCCTGGATTTTCTGCAGCCATTTTGTAGCCATGAGGTGAGTAAACCCAAAGAAGAAGCTAATACACTAAGGTTGGAGGAGAAGAAAGATAGAAAGAAGGGGGTTCTTGTTGATACTGTTAAGCCACCATCCCTAGTGCCACCTTAGCTTTATGGGTCTTGTTATAAGTTCCCTTATTGTTTAAGCAAGTTGAGTTGGCATTTTCTAGGGCTTGGAGCATGCTCCCTAACTGATACATGGGACACCAGGATTATTAAATTGATGGATGAATACAGTAGGTCAGCAATGAATGGTAATTTTCCTTTCCTTTTTTTTTTTCCATGAGCAACAGAATAGCTGCAGGCATCTCTTATACTCCAGAATACATACAGAGACTCAAAGAACACCAGGCAGAAAACAAGTATAAAGAGAAGAATGGACAGAGGTTTCTAAGAGTACAAAAGGGTCCATTTATGCAAGGCCAGTAATTTCATTCATTCAACCAATCAACATTACTGGGCACTTCCTCTGAAGCAGACCCTGTGCCAGCACTGGGGATGAGGGTTTGGGGATTTGACATGAGTCTGCCTCAGTCTGCTCTCAGGTGGTGAGAGAGGCAGGCAGATCAACACAATGTGCAGTACGCTGCACTCGGGTGAGAGATGTGGGAGCTCAGGTGGAAGGAACAAGGCTAACTTTGGATGGAGAAGACTGGGAAAAATTCCCAGAAAGGGGGACATTT